TGGCTTCGGTTTTGTCACATTTGCTGACAACACAGCCTTCAAACAGGGTGTATTGAAGGTCTGCCACTTCCTCAACGGCAGACGCCTTACAGTCAGGCGTCCAAGGATAAGTGTACATTGTCGTGATAGGTACGCCCAACCGTGCATGGCGACTTTTTTCCTACCTGAAGCTTCAACGATTGTTTTAGTAATTCGAATTTCAGTCAAGGTGTTTCCTTAATTCGTGTTCCTAAGGATTTTATCAAATATATTTTAATTGTATATATACACTACATTTATACGGTATTCGCAAGACAAATACATTTTGCCATCTAACCTTACTTAGCTTCAGCAGCTCTGCTACCGCAACATACCTTAACGGATATTCGTTAATGTTTTTAATTTGAAGATATTACTTTATTGAGCTGGTGATATTATAGGTCGTTGAGGATAACCTTACAATGTTACACAAAGCTCAGCATATCGCGTTTTAACTGAAAAAACTCGCGCACAGCGTCTCCATTATGTGATCGCATGAAAATCACGATTAAGTGGCATCGTAATTTGTCTACTTTTATTGTAGACCTGAAGTGTTGTGTGAGGAAGACGTGAATCCCAAAGGAATCTTCGTTGCCGGTCTGCCTGAAGCCACAACGGACTGCGATCTACATGAATACTTCTCACAATTTGGCCTTATGACTACCGTTTTTGTTATGAAAGACAAGCGAGAAGAAAAGCGGGCTGAGGACTCTTGCCGCTGTGGTATTGTAATTTTCCGTGACACGGATGCAGTCAAGAAGGTGTTTGCTGCTCAGCCGCACCAGTTAAATTCGAGGCAAATAAACGTTGAACCAGCAAAATACAGGAAAGTCGACGACAAAAAGTAGGTTTTTTTGACAGCATAAGTCTTTAGTGCAGTTTTGTACAGCAAATTCTCAAAACACAATTAGAGGTTTGCAGAGATTTTAGGTCGAATTAATTGAAAACAGGCCTTACTATACTATTGGCCTTATTTTATTCCACAGATTTGGATTTTCAGTATCTGACGAAGATTTCGATGACTCCAACGTTGAGTGCGAAGGCGAGAATGCAATATACGATTCTTGGGCAGGATCCTCCGAACAGCTCGAGATATTTGTGGGCTCGCTGACACCATATACGACTGAGTTTCAGCTCGAAGACTACTTTTCTGCGTTCGGCAGTGTCGCAACGGCCCGAATATTGCATGATAGGGTCACCGGCATGTCGCGTGGCTTCGGTTTTGTCACCTTTGCTGACAACACAGCCTTCAAGCAGGATGTATTGAAAGTCTGCCACTTCCTCAACGGTAGACGCCTACGTATCAGGCTTTCAACGAACTTTCCCCAGTCTGGTGACCGGCACATCC